GTCAGTGAATCTGTTTTGGCTATCTGAAGCAGAAGGCTAAACGGTATGTGCTGATTACGGTAGAAGTGCTGATCATAGCGGTTACAAGTTGTGGGCAGTGAAAAGAAAGTTGAAAACATTTATTTGTTGCAGTTGGCTGATGCTGTTCCTGTAACCTTCATTGTTATTTCTTCAACTGTTGTGAAGTAAACGTGCGAAAATTTATGGAGAATGCTATTTTTCAATGTTTTTTTTTTTAATTTACCAACGAGATTTTATTGTTTTGATGAAGTTGTTGTTGTTGTTGGCCACGGAGGGACAAGATGAAGTGGGCTGTGAGGGGAGGAATGGGGGGGAGGGGGAGGGAATTGGAGAGTTTTTGGTTTTGACAATTCTGATTACTCAGTTGTCATTGTTTCCTGCTTAATTAAATTTTATCTAAAAAGGTTTTTGAATAAACAGCAAAAGTTGAGTGTGCTTCGATGTGTTATTTGTATCGGCTTCCTACAAACTAATTAGGTAATAAATTTGTTTATTTTCTTTTATCATTTTTAGTGGTTCTTTTTTCGTTTTGTTATTAATGGAGGAGGAAAAGAGAGAGTAATGAAGAATATAGACAAGTGACTATTTGTTACTCTTTCTTTTTTTCTCATTATTATTGTTGCAAAAGAAAAAAAATTATCACTTATTTTTACTTTAAAAGAAAAAATTTGGCAAAAAAAAGGAAGAAAAGGAATGCTGGAAAACTATTTCATCAAATAAATTTGTTTAATTGTTTTTGTCCACATTTCTTTTTTTCTTTACTACTTTTTTTTTTCACTATTTAATGTGAAGTACAATTTAAGCTTTTGCAATAATTAAACGGAAAAAACAAAGGAGAAGAAAACAGCGCGATGATATTTGACAAAGGTGAAAATAAAAATAAATTTGAATACTTTTTGTTGATTGTTTTTTGGAAATAAAATTTCATCATTTTTTCGTCTCTTTATTTTTTCCGCTTAAAATAATCAAAAAACAATTAAATGACAGTAAAAAGCCGAGGAAGGGGAAACGTTAAATTGGATGGTAAGGTTGTTTTTGCTGTTTTGTTTTTAAGTCTAATTGAGAGGGATCAAAATTTATTAACTTTTTATTCACGCAATAAATAAATTCAGAGGTGCAATCTTTTGTCTTTACCTTTTAAATAATAAAATTAAATGAGCTTTTAGGTGAACAAAAGTAAACAGCAGTCACCAAACGGAGAGTCAAGAAGAGCTTAAGAACCTTTTCAGTAACGTTTTTTTAATGACTGTTTATTCACATGAATGGTAAATAAACAAATAAATTTTTCATGGAAACGTATATGTATCCCTCTTTATTTGTTTGTTCATACATTTGCTGAAAGCTACGAAAGCAAATGCATGGAACAGTAGTGGATTGCGCTTGATGGCATTGGTTTACGGTAACTCTCCATGTTTTCTGTACAAACAAAATGTACAAATTATTTTGTGAATAAGTTATTCAGTTCTCCATCGGAAAACAATCGAATAAAACAGTAATAGCAAGGGAAAAAGGCAATTAAACTATTGCCTTATCATGGGTACTATTACTTTTTTTTCTTTTTTTGCTTAAAGAGATGGAAGAAAGGAAATTGAAATTGATTCCGTAAAAGAGATTTTCTTTTTGAAGTTTATTTGGAGCAAAAAAAAAAAATGAAGGACAACAAAGAAAGTAATACGAGGTTAACTGAGTGTTGGAAAAAAAGAAAAAAAAAAGGGTAAAAAGATTTACAGCTGAATGGTTAAGGTGACTGAGTGCACTGTGTGAATAAATGTTTCGTTTAGTTGTTGAACGGTAACAGAAGAGAAGTCTTCATCGTTGCCGATTTTCCAATGTTCTCAATTTTCTACGATTTACGCTGAATAATAATAATAATAATGAGTAAGCAGATTTACTTTTTGTGGTCATTGGCAAAAAAGATTTGTTGATTAGGTTCATCATAATATATGGCTGCATAAATCATTAATTCTATAATGATTGCCTTTAAACCATCATCCACTACCAGCATAAGCAACAACATGACAAACATCAACGGAACAGCAAGCAATTTTTGTCGAGGAGTAAGAGAGGATAAGAAAAGAGAGAAGGGTGGAAGGAAGGTTGATGACAATGATAGTTGGAAGCGTAATAAATGACAAAAAATTTTGTGGGACAAACACGTGGTGAAATAGTTGAGGGTGTAGTGCAAATTTGAGGAGGATAAAAGTTTGCATTCAAATAAATATTATTTAAATTTTTACTAATTTTCAAACAAAAAAAAAAGAAATTTTCTTTTGTTCAAACAATAAGCTTATTTTTCTATATCCATAGAAGTAAAAAATTTTCCTTTTGCTTTTTATTTTTTTATTTTTTTTTTTAAATGTCATTTTTATGTTATTATATATGATCAATGAACAATGCAACAATGGCAGTAAAAACACTTCAGTTGATTGTTGACCATTACTATACAAACTGCTTTGGTCAAGTTGATATGCTGTTGGCAACGCTGTACTAAAAAAAAACGGAAGAGGAGGAAAAAATGCTTAATGATTTATTTTTAAGTAGGCAACTGGGAGTAAGAAAAAATTGAACAACAGTAAACTGTCACATTTGTAACAACAAACTTATAGGCTACTTATTTTGTTATGCAGATTTTTTTTTAGCTATCTTCAGATCTATGTTTCTTTTTTTTTTTCCGGCAAACAGCTGTTAATCAACGGAAGTCGTCAATGAGATATGTCATACAGAAATGTTAATGTGTTTTGATGTTGTTGCCTTTTTGTTTCCTCTGCTGTCCTCTCCCATATCCCCTATTCACTCCACTCCTCCTTTGGTCTCCTTTTGAAATTTGCTTAACTCCTCCCCTAACTTTTGGGATCTGTTCTCCTCTCCATCAATCGCAGTCGGATATTTCAGAAACACTGATAACGTTTAACAGCATTAAGAATGTGGTCTCACTTTTTTTGTTCCTCTCTTTTTTTGTCTTTAGTTCTTTCTTATCCCGCTTTTTTTTTTTTGTTTCTTTTGAAAAGTAATAACAAGTTAAGTTTAATACATATGTATATTCGTTAATAGTGATGTGCAGCTGTGAAAAATAAATGGTAGATGATGAATGGTAACAAATTTAATTCAAACCAATTAGTTGCTGCTTTCTTCTGTAATTTCACTACGTTCAGTAACTGTTTTTTTTTTTTTCACTTGGCAAATTTATTTTTATAGCATAACAAATGAGCAAAAATTTCTTTTAATTAAAAAATTACAGAAAAAAACTTTTCATCTTTTTTCTTAATTTTTTTTACCATCTTGTCGTCATTTTTAATGTAAAAGGATAGAGAGAGAAAATACTTGAAAAAAGTGCTTCTTAGCGACATTTATTTTTTCTGGTTTTATTAATGCTGGGAAATTTTAATATAATTGTCAGTTTTTTTGGGCAACGGTTTTGAGTTTTTATGATTTATGGATAAACAAACCAGATTTTTTATCTTCTAATTTTTTTTTTTTTTTTTTTGTTGACAATTTCTCTGTTTTAAAGTAAGTTGCCAACTGTTTTACATTTTTTATTCAACACTTCTGATTTAATGTTTTTTATTTTCCAAAAGCCTGTGAATTTTCTGCTGGGAAGACATTAAATTAGATTAATTAATGAATTTTGGCTTTAAACTGTACTTAATACCTAAACTTTAAGTGGTATCATAGGTGAGTCAGTTGACGTCTAAATCACTGCTTGTTTTCTTCCGATTCACCGGGCATAGCAAATGTATCAGTGCTGTGGTTTTCGGTCATTATATCTGACAGAATCTTCAACTGTTCCGTTGATGAGCCGGAAGATGTCCGGTGTGGTCTGTCATTGTTGCGTGGTGGGTAAAGAGATGTCATTAAAACATCAAAGAAGTGTTGGCTTTTGTGTTGCTTTTTTTTTATTTTCGACTAATTTGCAGCCGCAGTAATCAAATTATTTCTGAAGCTGTAGTCTAGAAATGAACATTTCATTATTATCACAATAATTTTTTATAGATCTCCAATGAAACTTTGGTTAAAAAATATTTGAACCTCTCAATGAACTACTGAATTGAACTTTATATTTTCATATTTGTTCATTTAATAGATGTTCTTTTTGTTTTTTACATTTACTACGGAGACAAAGAATGGTAGGATAAGGAAAAAAGCAAGAGAATTATGACTGCTTAAAAAGAAACATTAAGTTAAGACTTTTTTGATTTAATTCAAATTATTTGCCTTTGACCGGTACGACAGTTGCAATTGTGTCGGCACCAAAATTTGTTCTTTTTTTTTTTTTGAACCGATGGAAAGGGTTAAAATTGTACTGCTTTTCCCTCATTTCGTTACTCGTTTTCTGTATTTTTCTTCTGCATAACTTTTTTACTGTTTTCATTTTATTTTTTGTAATAGAATAATCGTGAAGATTTTTTTTAAAAAAAAATTGATTTATTTTTCTTTACTAAATTTCGTACAAAACCGCATGTTTCTACAAATTACATCAGTTTACTGAAGTGCCTATCTTTCTTTTTTTTTTCCTTGTATTTGAGTTTTATCGTTTAATCAACAAAAACTGGAACTAAATTGTTGACTTTTGGATACATCTTTAAAGCATAATCTGGTTTTAGTGGTAAATTTTTTTACTGAACATTGTGCCTTTTCGGGACCGTCAAAATGACGAAACAGTTCTATGGTATGTTTTGCTAGGATTTTATAAATCATTTTTCAACACCGTCGGTCGTCAATTGCATAAAATTGTGCTTATTTTGTTCGTCAATCTTTGCTGTTTCTAAATATTCGTATTTGTTTATCGAACATTTCAACTGTATTTTCATTTTGTCATCTTTCAAGCTACACTATGGTTTGTTTCAGAGAAATTATCCAGACGAATAACACCAAACACGTATTGTTGCTGTTGTAAGAAACAACAAGACAACCTGTTGTTATTTGTGTAGCACTGTTTTTTCTTTTTTCTTTTTTCTTTTTTTTTTTTTTTTTGTCTGAAGATGGAAAATTGTGGCTCAATGATGCCATTGATAGTGTTGTTGCTGTTGAGCGGTATTCATCGGTTGAATGCTACTGACAATGATCCGATGACGGTAAACCGATCAAATAGTGTTGAAGTATCACCGGTGGTTTACAACTCGAACACATTTGTACCGCTGCATTGCTACAACGGTGGAACATTCAAAAATGTATCAATTTACATCACTTCAAAAGTTTTCTTTGAAAAAAATTCTTTTTTTCTGCTAATAAAGAAGAAATTTTTTTTTATTCAACAACAACTAAATTATTTCGTTGATTGCATTAATTTTTGTTTAACCACATAAATTTTAATAAAAAAACAAACATTATACCGTGTAATTTTCAAGGATACTACAATTACAACAAAAAAACGTGAAAGAAAACGAATTTTGAAGATGAGAGGAAGAAATATTGTAGATACATAAAATAAAAAAAAAATATAACTGTATTGATAGATTAAGTGCTCATCAGTTTCTCATCAAATATTTCTGTTGCAAAAAAAAATTTTTTTTTGTTGTGCAATCTCAATAATATTTGTTAGATGTTATCTGAAGGAAATTAAAGTAAATAAAACGAGGTAAAAATTTGAGGCAAGGCTACTAAATTATAATTGTATATAAATTTGTCCAAACT